TTATAATTATTTATAGATTATTTCTCAAGACTGAATATTATGGGAGAACCATTACCCGATGTTTCAAAGCACAAAGTTATTATTATTGGTGCTGGCATAGCAGGTCTTGCAGCAGCCACTCATTTGTCACAACACAATATGAATGATTTTATTGTGTTGGAAGCACAGAATCGTATTGGTGGTCGAATATGCTCTTCTAAAATAAGTATGAAAATGTATTACTGTTACTTAACATTTTTTATACATGAATGATTTACAGATGATCAACAAGTTGAGCTTGGGGCTCATTGGATTCATGGTGTACTAGGTAATCCTATGTATGAATTAGCCTTAGCTAATGGTCTTGTGGACATTACTCAYTGTCCGAAATTACCCAGTATTATTGCAGCCACAACGGATGGTACAAAAGTTCCAATTCAATTAATACAAGCAAGTTAAAATATGTATTTAATAGTTGTATTCTAATGTCAAATTTAGGTTTTGGTTTACTATCCTAAACAATAAGTGTTGGTAGGAAAATTATTTTTATAAATATTAAACTGAAAATAAATGTATACAAAAATAAAGTGCAACAATGGTTTTCTTCATTCAAAGGATTTAGTATATTTTGTACAATTACTGTAGGTAATTAGTAAGTAATACCCAAAGACATTTAATAATTAATTTGATACCAAAAAGTTTACCTAAGACTTAAGAATTATGAGGACATTCTACCCATATGTGTTGTCTCCATCTTAAACACGTACTACATACTAAGTTTTTGTTCACCAGTTTGAATAGTGTGCTGTTAGTTTTGATATTGTAGTGAATTGACCTATTATTAAGAACATTATCTGTTTTCCCTCATTGGTTTTTTAGAATATTTTAATTTTTAAGTTAGTTATGAGAACTATTGTAAAAAAACTAATGAAAAACACAGATAATGTTCTTACATAAAAATTTGGTAGTAAACTTTAATAATTCACTCTAATATTAAAATTWACAGCACACTATTGAAACTAGTGAACGAAAATTTGATATGTCGTATGTGTTTAAGATGGAGATAATACATGCATGTACGACGTCCTCTTATATAATACTTTAAAAAAATTGTTACTATTAAATTCTTTATAATTAAATTTTAAATAATATTTTTTTTAGGAAACATATGAAGCGTATATGTGTTTTTTACGGCGATGTGAAGATTACTTTACGGGCGCATTTGATCCACCGCCCGGGATTCACAGTGTTGGAGAACATGTGCAGCTTGAAATTGCAATTTATTTGGATAAAGTACAAAATAGTAATGCCCGTAAATTACAACGATTAATTTTCAACTGCCTACTGAAGCGAGAAACTTGTATTACTGGATGTAACAATATGAATGATATTGATTTAGTTGAATTAGGTAGTTACAAAGAACTGCAGGGTGGTAATATTGCACTGCCCAGTGGGTACAGCAGTATATTAGATCCTATTCATAACAAGTTACCACCCGATTGTATAAAATTAAATTCTCAAGTGACAAAAATCAAATGGCCATCAGGCATTGACAATGGTACAGATTCTGAAGATTCTGATAAGACTGTAATCGAAGTAGGCGGTGAAAATGTCACCAATGAAACTGTGTATGTTCATTGTGATGATAAGATTTATGAAGCTGACAGTATTATATGCACACTGCCATTGGGTGTACTCAAGTCCAATGACATTTTCTGCCCAAAATTGCCAAAATACAAAGAAAAATCTATTGGTAGACTTTTGTATGGTGTAGTGGATAAAATTTTTTTGTATTATGATCGTCCATTTTTAAGTCAAGATACAGATGAGATACTTTTACTATGGGACAGTGATGAAATAAGTGATTGGAGTGAAAAGATATATAGTTTTTCAAAAGTAAATGATACATTGTTACTCGGTTGGTTATCTGGTAATGAAGCTGAAATCATGGAGAAATTGGATGATAAAATAATTGGAGACAAGTGTACAGAAATATTGAGACGTTTTCTGAATGATCCTTGTATACCATATCCATCTAAATGTATATGGTTAGTGTTAACTCTGTATTTATGATTTAACAGTATYATACTTATTAAATTTGTTGTAACCATTTTAATTGTAGCACTCGATGGAAAGCAAATGAATTCAGTCTAGGTTCATATACTGCTATCGGAGTTGGCTCTAGTCAGTTGGACATCGAACATATTGCAAGGCCAATGCATATTAATAATAATACAATTGTGAGTAATAAGAACTCATATTTTATATTTTTATATGTATCTATCTATACAAAATATGTTTTGTTTACAGCCAATTATAACGTTTGCTGGGGAACATACTCATCCAAATTTTTACTCAACTGTCCATGGAGCATATTTGTCTGGGCGTGCAGCTGCTGAAATGTTGATTGTGTGCAAACGTGAAGATGAACCACTCAATACTACAGTCACTGACCTAAGTTCATGGATACAAGGTTTACCACTAGCATAGTTAAACTTTTGTTATTTTATTTATTTATTTATTTTACGCAAATGTATTTATTTATTTAACCAAATTGTGATATTAGGTATTAGTTGTTAGTTCAAGTTAGAAAAATGTAGACTTTTGACTATGAACTTTTAATTCTGGTCACCAGATAATTTTTTAAACAAATTGTTTCTTGCTTAAGTACATCTTTATTTTCATAAATCTAAAAATCTCTTACAATTTGTTTGTTTGTGAAGACTTTTTAGTTTTATATTTTTATGGACAAATATTCTTAAGTTTTTTAATATTAAACCATGACGTGCATTTTGGCTTAAAAAAATCAAATGCTAACAAATCTAAGTTTTTTATGGCTTTATAGATTGTTTAACTTTTTCACTGCTAAATTGGTTTTTCCTATGATACTCATCTCCATTGAATTTATTTTGTTTATTTATGTCACAAAAGCCTAAAATTTTCTTGTATGGATGCATAGAATCATAATATGTTGAAATTAAAAATAAAAACTATATATTGCATTGATTTAGATATTTAAGTATTAAAATATTGTATGATAATAGATTACCTAACAGTGCATACAATAATAAAAAAAATATAACCTACTTTGTGTTAAATCTTTCAACAGGTTATTAAGTAGTAAAATAGAAGTATAATAGTTTTAATACAAAAATAATTATTGATCTAGATTTTGTCATTACGTTTCAACAATATAAATTTTAATAATTTCTGTTGTAATTCTGTGTATAAAAACATAATTGTTTGACCTTTAAATTGGTTGTTTGTTTCTTTTTTTTTATCGGATATACTCTAGATAAAAGATTGTRATAGTCAATCTTATCATCATAAAATAAATTTATTATTTTTGGCATTTACTCTAAAAACGCTAATGTATCAAGTGTTATGCCATAACCGTTTTCCATCCTCCAGCTCACATAGTTCTGGTTCATTGGACTTATGTGGAAATTGTTGAAAATGAGCGGATGGTGAATTTTAATGTTTATCMTTAAGGTTAAAATGTTCTTGATGCTATTAAATAGTCTATTACCTACATCAATTAATATTATTAAATATTATATAGATATAAGATTTAAATTATACAAAACTAAGTCTAATTTTCTTTAGGACAGTGAAAGAATATTGTGTACTTCATTAGGCATCGCAGGCAGTGCCGCGTTAAGCTATGTTGCCGCCCCGGGGCAAATTAAAATATGCTACCCTTAATTTTTTATTTTATGTTGATCCTTAAAAATTTTCCGCCCTATCAAACACCATAAAATTTGCCGCCCCTGGGCAGTTGCCCCTCCTTGCCCCCCGTTAAATGCGGCTCTGATYGCAGGTGCCTACATTTATGATTGTGCACTGTGCATTGTACTAGTGTGTATTGATAGCATGCACAGGCCATCAAGTCGATTGTAATGAATGAAACAAAATATAGGAACATTGTGATAATGTATAAGTTTAAATTTTTTTAAATTTACCGGACCGTCATAGTGTTTGTTCTTTAAATACGTTCTTAATCATTTTAGAAGGCGCTACACTGCCATTAGCTCTACGTTTCACAAGTGCGTAACATGTCAAATCTACTCTCGGCAGATCACGTTTAGCTCTAATAGCCTATAGTTTAAAAATTAGAGTGAATMGAACTATTGATATAAAACATCGTGGTAAAGACATTTTATCTGTGTTTGTGACAGGATTTTTACGATAGTTCAATTGTTTTGCAAATTTTGCTCACATAATAATAAGGGTAAATTAAAAATGCCCTTGCTGGATGAGTTATCTGTAAAAAAGAACAATAATTGCAAAAAAGTTGCAAGTTGTAGATAGATAGTCGGAATTGCGTAAACGAATAGATTCGGAATTTTGTCCTAGGTCGTTGCCGATTGTTTATAACACGACTTCGTTTACTATAGTAGCCAGCGAGTACGCCATCAGTCATCACAATATATTAYGATTATTAATCGGCAAGCATCATCTGGATTTTGGGTACGTTTATTTTTTCAATTACTTTCATCATTGTTGCACTTATTCATGTTATTGATATGCTTAAAACAGTTTATAAGCAGAGTTGTACTAATGCATAGGTTTTCAACTTGGGCGGAAGCGTTACGAAAATAATGTTTAAGAAAAAACAGGAACTTCTAATCGCATTGCTATGCTATTATATTATTATTATTATAAAATTTCCTCAGAGTGATTGTATACATATATTTTGTATCTTGTATGATTATAACAATATAAATAATATAATATTGTTACAATCATAATACGATATTATTAAATATGACGTGCAATACAACGATCTCTTCGGTATCTATTAATAAAATCACCGTTCGGCGAAAAACCCGTCTCGCTCGACGCGATGAGAACAAAACGTAATTCGCGAGCCACAAATAAATGAATATTACGATTACAGTATTTACACCAATCGTCTCGTTCGGAAATTCCAATCAGACAACAGTAATATATTTTGTGTTTGCTGATTACTCTTTACTATTTACTATTTAGTTGTGTCGTAGCTTTCGTGTCGTGTTCGTTTCAGTTTATTATTTTGGTGGCGTGGTGATTTTAAGTAGGTACCTAATGGCTAATAATCATAACTGAAAATGCCCAAATCCAAAACAAAAAAAGGTATTGTTAATATGACGTTTTAARTACGGATTTACGGTGATGATTGAGAAAAATGGATATCATTTACTTCGGCGGGTGATTTGTCACACGACGGTTTTGAGTGATGATGCGTCAGTTCAAATGACAAACCAATCGATTTCTTGCGTGCTTAGATAAACTCGGTAAAACGCGTGAAACTACTGAAACTCGGATTCAATAGGTCGTTTTCAAATTGAAGGTGTAACGATTATGGAAGTTTCTCTGACGATGTTGCCTCGTTGATAGCCAAAGACGAGAAACCACATCATACTATTCGGTGAGTCCCCTCGTAATACCATGTTTCATCTTATTGCTTTTTAAACTGTATTTAACAATTAATGCTGTGCAAAATATAAGTTAGAGTTGCAAAAATGTCTGAGTCAAACGATTCAATAAAAAACGTAGAATCTATGAAATGGCTCAYGATTTGATGAATAAAATTATAGAAAAATTAACATACCGCGTGTTCACCGACTTAGAGAACACCAGAGTTCTTCGGCCGGATTATATTGGAATAAATCGAATTTGTTTTTTAAAAGTTAGTGGTATATAAATAGTATTTTAATTAGTGTTACCTACCTGCTTAATGTTCAGTTTCAAAATATGTTTGATCTCATCCCTTATATGAGTGCGTATATGTATAAAAATGAACTACAACAAGTTTTAAACCAATCGCTTAAGGTTAACCTGTGCCGACTTGTAATTTAAGTTTGAACTCTCTAAATTATTTAATATTTATGAAAATATTCAACATTTCCGTAAATATTTCGTTAACCTTTAGAAATATCGATGTTTTTCATATCATATATTTTAAAGTAAATTAAATTTTCCATAACATTTATAATATCTCCAATGGTTTATGAAGTATATTAACTTAACTGTAAAAAAACATTATATCGATTAGAAATACAAGCAACATAGCCCATAGGTATATATTGTAGGTATCAATTTAAAATATTGGTACACGTGTCGTATGCTATCTACCCGCGTACGCTATCTACAAAAAAATAATACTTGTGGCAGTTAAAATCGATGCTAAAATGCACTTTACCCCCCCCCCCCCCCCCCCGCAAAATTTTCGATTTTTTTTTCGGAACATACTTATATTAACGATTTAAGAACGATGGTGCAATCAGAATTTTTGTCGCACAGAACAAATTTATAAATTGGTCTGCAATGTGCACGACTAAAAGAAAAAATATGCAAAAGTCATAAAYGTCCTAACCCTAGTAATAAATATCATATAGGTATATAGGTATATTGTTTAATATTTACACACTTAAATATTAGATATAATTTTCAATAAATTTACATATACAATGTGTACTTTATTATAATATAGGTAATACATAAATAATTACATTTGTTTTTGAGTTAAAACATTTATATTTAAATAAAAAAATTACAAAATTTTTATTTGCCTTGGCAACTTACTAAATATTAAAAAATCTAGTTACAATGTTACAAGCAAACATAGTAAATAGTCAAAAACATAATTATATTAAATGGTATGCATATAATTGATATCTACTAATTGTTAGAAATTATGAATATAAAATGAATTCACACATTTAAACACTATAATGGTATAATATAATAATTATAATTTTGATTAAACAGAAATATAATTAAATTATGATAAATTAGAACTATAAAATTAACTTTTATGTGCCTATACTTTAATTTAGTTACTAATTAAATAACACAATTAGGTASCTATATGTAATAATAAACATTATGATACATGCTTTTTTAGTTTATTATACACTCTTGTCACTGGTTTTTTTTATTTTATATAATTTTTATAATTTTTATTACTTGTATTTATTATGATTTATACTTAAGTTATAAATTTATTTTCATAGTTTTCTAATGATTTAGGCAAAATTTGTAATTCTGATTTTAAAGTCTCTATTTCACAATTATAGGACTGTGCTAAAGGCAACAATAATGAAACATTTAAAAATAATTTAGAATTAGGGTCTAATGAACTTATACCATTCAAAATATCTGAATTGTTATCAAATATTTTTTCTAGCTCATTTATTACTTGATCTTAAGAGGACGCCTCACCCGCATGTGTGGTTTCCGTCGCACAAGTGCGTAGCATAGCAAATTTTACGCTCAGTAGATCATGTTTATCTCTGTTAATTTAAAATTTAGAGTGAATTGACCTATTTTTAAAATTAAAGGCGAGATTATTACCGAGGGCATCTCATAGGCTTTTTATTATACCTATTTTTATTTTAAACCGAGTTATGAGTATTTTTAGATATAAAAATAATTTACAATTTTAAAATAGTCATAACTCAGTTTAAAATTTAAAAAAAAAAAAGCCTATGAGATGTCCTCGGTAATAATCCTGCCTTTAGCCTTTAATTTTTATAATAGGTCATTTCACTCTAAATTTTAAATTAACGGAAATAATCGTGATCTGCTGAGCGTAAAATTTGCTATGCTACGCACTTGTACAACGGAGACAAGACAACACATGCGGGTGTAGTGTCCTCTTAAATGTAATAATATTTTTTCAGTTTTCAGTTGTTAAGTTTTGTTTTCATATTATTACTTATCTCACATACATATTTTACCAAATAAGTAGGGATCTTTTTACTCTTTTTTTTGTTATTTTTTCTGAAGTAGGTAAATCAATATAAAGTTCTTTAGAAAGCGTTTCTGCTTCATTAAACAATTTTTATGAGGTATTTCATTTCTTATATCATTTAAAAAATGTTTAGTTGTTTCAATTAACACGTTTACCGCCCAAGATCTTTTTTGAAAATCTTAGGACAAACCCAAACTTAATATTATTTCGATTATCCCGCTATCTCATGACGCTAAAAAAATCCACGTACACTGTTAGATGGCGTAGGTAGTGCTAAATAAAACCAATATGATGTGATATTTGTTTGAAGAAACCCAAGCCCACGATAAATAATTGAAAATTATATACCGAGTGTCACATATKTAAGGACTAAAACTCTGAYTAAATTAAGTCTATGATTTGCGCAATGCATGTAATATGCTTGAGGAACTTTTTTTWAAAAATTGTCTCAATACCATTAATATGACCTCGTATCACACTAGCACCATCATAAGTTTGTGCTACACAGTTGTTTATGTCTATTTGACATGTATAAAGCATTTCCTTAATTTTTAAAAATAATGAATTTGCATCAAGACCATTTAAATGTGTAAAACCAAGAAATCTTTCTTTTATTTCACCATTAAAAAAATACCTCAAAACTATAGATAACTGTTCAGTTTTAGAAATATCTTTTGTTGCATCAGCTAATATTGAAAAATATACACACTCTTTTATTTCAGGAGATATTTTTTTAAGAATCATAGAAGCTATAATGTGGATAATTTCATTCTGAATTGAATGGTGTAAGTACCAAGCATTTTTTGGACCAGTGATTTATTTTTTAACAATATCATTAAAACTAGCTATTACATTCATTTATTCTAAAAATTTCCCTCTATTTAAACTATCCTCAGTTTCAATATGACCCCCAAATGCACTACCTTGTATAATGTATAGCAAGCATTTTTAGAGAAATAATTATAGCTTCCAAATATTTCCTATTTTCAACAACTATTTGAGCACAATTGAGATAATACTGATGTTTTGTTAATTTTATTTTTTTATAATCGATCCAAATAATAACACTTTGTTTATGGTCTTCAGAATTATCATGCCTGTATAATCCTTTATTATTTTATAATTAATTTTTCCAATTTTTATACCCAGTGCTTTTAAAAATATTATCATAATCAGTTTTTAATTTAAATGAAAAAAATCTACATGGTAAACAATATACTGCATCTTCTAATTGACTGTATTCCAACCATTAAACTGGCAAACTAACCTACTTGAAAACCTCTTATTCGGCTAGAACGTCCAGTTCCATAAACGCACATTGAGTAGCGTAATTATATGTACAGGAGTTGTTATTTGCCTCATATTGATCGTCTGTAGATTCATCATTGGAACTGTTACTAAAATCAAAATGGAATATTTATGATTAGGTTGGTGAATGAAAAATATATACTTATTTTTTTTTTTTTAATAGATATTAAATTTAATTATATAGGTACCTGTTTAAACTATCACGATTTTCTTCTTCACCATTTTGCTTCATTCTAAAGAGTTCATCAAAGTCACTAAATTAAAAAAAAAATAATATAAAACAAATAAATTATACACTCTAATTATTCTAAAATAGTATTGAAATTAAAATCTCTTACTTGCTTTTTTGTGACAAAATTCAGAATCATTAGCTTGTTTTTTTATTTATTAGTGGTGCAATAAAGTCATTTATTTTTCGTTTGGACATTATTAAGTTAAAAATTATAAAATGTTTAAGATGATATCCTTTACAAATAATGATTTTTTTTTTTTAGTTTAATGATGATCTTTGTTGTGTAACTACGCGTCTTTTAAATTGTATTATTAATGAGTTTTTCCCGTTTTTCATATTCGCCATGGTATAGATAACATTAAACTGATTAAACAATATTRTGCACTGTAAAATGTAAACGTAAAACGTAGACAAAAATAATAATATTCATTGTCAATAAAATATTAAATCGTTGACATTATGTCACAGATAGGCACGGCTCGCCGCTCGCGGATATATTTACTATATAGCCGTGTTGACGGACAACGTACGGTCTTATAATAATAATAATTTATAACCACAAATTATTCTATATTTCGATTTAATAACATAATTTTGTGAATTGTGAGGATCATGATCATAATTATTCATAATTAAAAAAAATTATTCRTATTTTATTCGGTCAAAAAAAAAATTGTTGCCTATAATAGTCTTAGGACTTAGAGAAGTATAGAATTTCAATTTTATCTGTTATTTTAAAGAATTTTTTTTTCTGATGTGGTTAGGTAGTCAAGGGGTGGCCAAGACAAACTTAGAGGGGGCCGTGGCCCCCTAGCCCTCCCTGGCGCCGCCACTCTGCTTACAGTGCTTACATGCACGCTATGCCCCTGTTAATATACAAATTATATATTAATAAAATGTCAATAAATGATGGGTAATTAATATTTGAAAAAGACAAAATAATCTTTAGGTATTTAAGTGATAATTGTAAAAAACCTTCACGATTAGTTATCGAAATAATGYGTTCATTTGATTATTAGCGACATTTGTATTAAAGATTATGAGGATTATGAGTACCAAGTTAATGTTATGGGAGAGACTTGTTTTTTAAAAATAATTTTCTGATATATATATATATTATATGTGTATAAAC